CATTTCGGGTTTTTGTGCGAGAAAGAAATGATAAAAATGAAGTCGTTAGATATAAAGCACCACTTGTGGCACAAGGATTTTTGCAAAGACCCGGCATTGATTATATGGAGATATATTCTCCTGTGGTGGATGCAATCACTTTCATGTATCTTATAAATTTGGCATTCCATGAAAAACTTGATATGCGTCTAATGGATGTTGTCACAGCCTATTTGTATGGCATATTAGATAACGAAATTTATATGAAAATCCCTGAAGGGCTCAAAGTTCCTCAAACTAATAAAAGTTTTCGGTAAACTTGTTCAATAAAGCTTCAAAAATCCTTATATGGATTGAAACAATCAGGGTGAATGTGGTATAATCGCCTGAGTGAGTATTTTTTGAAAGAAGGGTATAAGAATGATCCAATGTATCCTTGTATATTTATAAGAAGGTCTGGATCTGAATTTGTTATAGTCGATGTGTACGTTGATGATCTAAAAATCATTGGAACTCCTGGGGAACTTCCAAAAGCAGTAGACTGTTTGAAGAAAGAGTTTGAAATAAAAGATCTTGGAAAGACAAAATTTTGTCTTGGTCTACAAATTGAGCATATGAAATATGGAATTTTTGTCCATCAATCAACTTATACCGAAAAGATCCTAAAGCATTTTTATATGGATAAAGCACATCCATTGAGTACCCTGATGGTTGTGAGATCATTGATATAAATAAAAATCCATTTCGACCTCATGAAAATGATGGAGAGCTTCTTGGTGATGAAATTCTATATCTTAGTGCAGTTGGGGCACTAATGTATCTTGCAAATAATACTCGACCAGATATAACTTTTGCAGTAAATTTATTAGTAAGATTTATTTCCTTTCCAACAACAAGATACTGGAATGGTGTTAAAAATATTTTTAGATACCTCCGAGGGACTATTGATATGGGATTATTTGATTCTTATGAATCCGATTCATAGTTAATTGGTTATGCAGATGCAAGTTATTTGTCTCACCCACATAAAAGCCCGATCTCAAACAGGCTATCTATTTACTTGTGGGGGTACAACTATTTCATGGTGTTCAACAAAATAAACTTTAGCTGCTACATCTTCCAATCATGCAGAGATAATAGCTATTTATGAAGCTAGTCGAGAATGTGTATGGTTGAGATCAGTGACTCAACATATTCAACAATTATGTGGTCTTTCTTTAAAAATGAAGATTCCAACGATATTGTATGAAGACAATGCTGCTTGCATAGCTCAACTTAAAGGAGGATATATCAAAGGAGACAGAACAAAGCATATTTCACCAAAGTTTTTTTCACATACGATCTTCAGCAAAATGGTGAAATAGATATTCAACAATTCCGTTCAAGTGACAATCTAGCAGATTTATTCACTAAGGCATTGCCGACATCAACATTTGAGAAGCTGAGACATAAGATTGGAATGCGTCGTCTCCGAGATATCAAATAAAGCTTTCATCAGGGAGAATATAATACGCGTTGTACTCTTTTTCCCTTAACCAAGATTTTGTTCCAATTGGGTTTTTCTGGTAAGGTTTTTAATGAGGCATCACTCAATGCGTATTACAAGATATGTGTACTCTTTTTCCTTTACTAGGCTTTTTCAAATGAACATCCAAGGGGGAGTGTTATGAAATAAAGTAAATGTATATGGATGTTCATTTAATCCATCCATACATATTATTTAATGTACTACTTAGATAGATGTACCTATTAATTCTTAAGATGTATCTGGTGAACTTTAGGTGCTATCTTGTATACTATAAATAGGACATTCTTTGTCCATGGAATTGCACACAAGAAATACACTATAAGATAATTTCTATATTCTCCTCCTATATATCTTGTCTCCATTACTATATTATTCTATTTTGCTCTCATTTTTTAACAATATGCCTCTAATTGTTCAAATCTATTTTAAAGTAAAAAAATAACCTTGTCTACTACTCTTTCCAATCCATAATAAATGACTTTTTTGGCTTTTATTTTGGTTCAAAATAAGTGTCATTTTATATAATCGAGAAATAATTAACTTTATTTTTCCAAAATTTGCCCTTATTTACATATCTCTATGTGTCAAGTTAACAACATATAAATTTTAATTAAGGATAATTTAGTCAAAATACATTTTTGTTCTATTAGTCAATATTTTCTTATGGGGCACAACAAAGGTTAAGGTCATTTATTATAAAAAGTAATCAACTCTAAAGACTATTCGAGAGATTTTAAGATTTTACTATTAACATTCTCCTCAAGTTGTTTCTTCTTATATATTACACGTTTCTTATGAAATTCGGGTTCAATATTAATTGCAAATGCAATTTCCTTGGCAGAAATCAAAACAGTTGCAAATCCTTGTCTCTATGTTTGTTAAAAAAAGAAATCAAATTTTTTCACCACATAACTTTTTAATTTTTTTTTATATATAGCCTATTATGTGTAAAAAGAAAATAGGGCCTCCAAAAATGTGGGGCCTAAAACAGTTGTTTTACCTGCTTTATGGGCGGGTCGCCCCTGGGTGCGCAAAGCATCTCGCATTCACACAGGGTTCGGGGAAGGGCCTCACCTCAAAGGATGTGATGCGGATAGCCTACCCTAATGCAAATATTAGTGGCTGCTTTCACGGCTCGAACCCGTAACCTATATGTCACACAGAGACAACTTTACCATTGCTCTATCCCTTCCGAATATTTTGGAACCAATGGAGTAAATTCAATTAAGACAAACCTTAAATTCATCAATTCATGCTATAAAATATGGAACAATGACTCTCTTTTATGTAATATGAATATAGGATTTAACACTCACTGATAGTACTCCACTTGCTATAAGTAATGGTGCGAAAATTTTGTACCTTATTTGTATATAGAAATTAAACTCGATCATATGTTTAAGTATACCTTCCGCGACACAAGTAATTAATTTGAGTTACAGTGTTTTGAAAAGTATACCTTATATTTTATTTTTTCTTCAAATTTGTTTCACTTTGTAAGGCCATAGAGAAACATTAATTAAACAGTACGTATGGAGTATGGGCATTGCAGACAAAAAAGAAAAGCAAAAGAAAAAGGAAAACAATATAAGGAGTTAATTGTAAGATACGTTGCTTCTGCTGGTGATATGTGGCAAGTCACTTTATTGAAGTAGAAGCTCTCTCCACAATCTCATACATATATAATCTTTCAATTACTACTTACTATTTTGCTTTTGGGCCATGCTGTCAAGTTGCCATTTAAACCACCTAAATTCTTGGCATGGTGTCTGCTTTCTGCATGTGCTCCCATCTGCTATATTGAAAGCGCTATTTCAATATACATTCTACACCTAGCTACAATTAAATTGGAGTAATTCTCTGTATATATATTTTCATCAAAGTATGGTGAAAGAGTTGGTCTATTCCTATATACATTGTACACGTATCATATTTGACTTGGAGTTTCCCATATATCTCGTCAAGGTAAGGAGGATGAGTAAAATGAAAGAATATATATTTATGTAAATTAGTTTTTATATTAATAAACAAATGGTACCAATAACCAATCTATTGGTTGATAAAGTTATCAAGTGTCAACTTGATCGATGAGTCCAGAGCCGGATGTAGCCTTTGTGCCGGGTTCATCTGAACACAATATTCTTGGCGCGGTGCATAAATTTATGTGTAAAAACTCACTAAAACTGCAATAAATAATAGATACGGACCCATAATTTTAAAAATATATAGGTTCAATGATAAAAACCTTAAATATTGAATCCATAAAATTTAAATTCTAGATCCGCCTCTAGATCGATCCGATAACTCATATTTTGGAGTACTTGTATTTTGGAAAGGCAAGAAATGTGTATGAGGTTTTGCTCATCTTCTTATTTTGCTTGTGTAATTCTTGCGCAGATTAATGTGTATGAGGTTTTGCTCATCTTCTTCCAATAAATTATTGCTGAGATTAATGATACATATAGAAAGATTTAAATCTCAAGTAATTTATCATAGAATAAAAATTTGAATCAATTAATGTTCAGCTATAAGCAATTCACTACTTTGGATTATTAATGGAGTAGGTACGATAACAGATCGACTAATAATCATAGGTTTGGTGAATTGTTGCTAGGAAATGAATTAATCAATAAAAAGGAAAAAAAGAAAAAAAAAACTTCAGCTGGTCCAATTATATTAGTCAAGAATCATGTGATAGAAGGTGGTCTAGCTACGACTATGTTATTCGGATGGCTATATGTTTTTAGACTGTACAGCCAAGATTCATGTGATGCAACATGGGTATTTTCTCATCAGAGGAAGGAAAAGCGAGCAAAAAGAAACAATCAGATTAAAATAGAAAAAAATGTTAAGAGCAAAAACACATGAAGGTTTTAGGTGTGACAAATAGATTTATAGCATGTTAGGCCAAGAATCTAAAATAAGTTTATTTCGAGATGTGTTTTTTTTGTTAAGAGTGCTTTTCTCAAAAGTACTTTTGGTGAGAATCAATTTGTATTTGACTAATTAATTTGAAAAGCACTCATGAGCATCAATTAATATTTGACCAAGCTGTAAAAAAGTATTTCTAAGTGTATTTTTCTCAAAAGTACTTTTTAAAAAGTGCTTCTCGAGAGAATCTTTTTTTTTCTGCTTCTTCAAAAGTGCTTCTGCTTCTACTCAAAAATATTTTTTTCTTCTTCTAAAAGTTTGGCAGAACACTTCAACTTTGAAAAAGAAACATTTTAAAAATAAAAAAAAAATGTTTTTGGCCTCGGAGAAGCTTGGCCAAATAGACTATTAGTATGGGAAAATGACATTGTATGGCCGCTCTCAAAATAATAATAGAAAAAAAAAAATTTATATANAGAAAATATCATAGACTAGAAAATACTCTCACATAAAAATATCAAGTTTAGCAGAAGATAAAGTACGTTTGCTTTTGCAATTATTCCTTGCAATTAGAGTAGTATCATCACATTAAGAATAGTGATAGTGATAGTGATCACCAAATAAAAATGGCCAAACTTAACTTACAATAATAACCAAATAAAATTGTTTACATTCTCAAAACCTTCATTTTGGTGAGTGATAAACTACATTAAGCCTAAACCAGTGATTAACGAAGTCAGAAATCCTATCAAGGTTCTGTGACATGTTCCAAATGATCAAACCTATATATTTCCGAACGAAAATTGACCCTTGACGGCGTCCAAGGTGAAAATAAAACTTCCTTAATATTATTCACAACTCCTTTGTCAAATGGATTTCTAGTGCTTCCGTACAACTGCCTAAAATTCTCATAAGCTGCCTGCCACAATAAACGGAAAAAATACAGTGTATATTAACATGTTGTAGTAGGTAATTTTTGCTTCGTAATCATTTAACTATTCTCCTCGGAACAATTCATTTGAATAGATTGATATATGAAGCTGAAACTAACCTGATTTGTAGCAATCAGATACGCATGGTAACCAGTCAATCCACCAACAAAAACTGCAGCAGCAAAACTGAAACATGCCAATGCCAATGTCTCAGGGCAATCTTTTACCAAACCAATCAATCCCATTCCCATGCCATTGCCTAATTTCTTACGTTGAATCTTTTGGCATGAGAAGGCAAATATGTAGACGAAGTAAGCAGTTGCTAGAACCAATAGCAATACGTAAAGTCGATAATTCCTCTGCACAAATCGAAATAAAAAAATTAGTTGTTACTAATTTATCTTCTTCCACAGATAAATAGAATATCACTTTGTTGATAATTGTACAAACCAGTCCAATGCATTGACCAATCCAAGGGCAATGGTGGTCAAATCTCTCAACGCAATTGTCACAAATAACGCAATGGCAACTCCTAGGCGGGCGATATATGTTACAAATTCGGCAGTATTTTAATTTCAGTGCCACCTCATTAATGATGACTCTTTTGCTTCTAATTCTGCCATTTCTCGTCGACTCAGTGGATAGTGATTCATTGTTTCTCGGAATAATGCCAGGATCAATGACACTAACCATTGTTAAATTGGCAAGAACCTGTTACATATTAATGATAAATATATCATATAATAGTTGAACAAAAAGAACAAAATAAACAACCTAACAGATTGAGTACAAAGTTTAGTTTAGTGACTCACAATTAAGGTCAATAGCACACAGAAACTGACTATGATGCTGGAGTGTTTTGATATATCCTTTGCAACATAAATAGCAAAAACCCAACTTGATAGACTAATAGAGACAATAGTCAAGAGCAAACCTCTTAGATCTGGGCCACATATCAGTAACCCTTTGAGAAAAAATACCTGCACTTGGTACAATCTAAGGCTTATTAATTAGAACATTTAGAATTAAAAACAAGTCCTCCGATCCATATTTGTCAAGTAATATAATCGAACACAAACCGTAGCATACATTGTTTCCTGGCCAAGCGTGATATAACCTGACTCGTTCGGCGCGATCTCCACGATGATTTTGTGTTACGTTCTCTTCATTACGTGTTTTAATTCCCACAACATTTTTCCAAAAGGTGAATAACATTTTCTTAATTTTTGCAAGAAAATCAATCTCAACTTCATATATCGACAACTTCTGTGATTCCGTTGTTTCAATAACTGCATCCACTTGTGCAACTACACAACTCGTGTCATTTTCTTCAACAGGTTGCTCCAAAGAAGCCATTAATGAAAGTTCATTGGCGGATGTCGAGAATTTGAACGCATAATCAGTAACCAACTTCTACAAAACTGAATTTTTATACTACTCTAATAGATTTGGGCTTGGCCATATTCATTGGGCCAAATTAGTCAGTACAAGGATAGACTGGGCCATTTGTACAGATAGCCACTTAATGCCAATCTTTAAAATATGGTCACAAATTAAAAATTAATGCAACTTTAGCAACAGACAAAATTCAAACTAGTCCACAAGTATGAAGTTCGTACTATTATAGCCAAACTTCAAACCAATGGTCAGAAGTTCGAATTGATGCATCTCAATTTCAGACCAATATTTGCACCAAACTTCAAACCAAAAAGAAGAAGACTAAAGAAGCAGACGTGTGCCAATAATCTTTTTTACTAAGTTTACAACATTTTCCAAATTATGGCTAAATTTGACAAAAGTGACTACCTGGTGTAAAGAGAAGGAGTTTTCAGAAATTACTATTGTTTAGTGGCTATTTAATTCCTATAGCTATCATATACATAATTACTTCATATAACTATTATTCAGTTATTAGTGTATTCATTGTATTCGCGCTGCTGTATTCATGAATACAGCAGCAAAAAACGCCTAAACATCAGGGCAATCCAGCTGTTCGCGTATGTATTCACATGTATTCGCGCCATGTATTCATGAATATAGCAGCAAAAAGCGTCTAAAATCATGGCAGCTAAGCTGTACACGCATGTATCCACATGTAATCGCGCCATGTATTCATGAATACAATAACAACAATCACCTTAAAAATAAGTATGTACAACTGTCTAATAACGGAAATAATATCAATTAGTGTGATACACTCCTAATATAACTCAACAAAATCAATTCTAACATGTATCATTATCAACCCAATTAATTAGAATGATTTTTCAGTTGTATATGACTTTTGTATTTAGTGTTTTTCAATATTTTTGTTTTAATGTTGCATTCATTATATTCAATGTTTATATTTATAATATTCGCTATTTTATATTCAGTGTATTCAAATATATTTATATTAACAATATTTTAGTTATTCCTAATACATGTTATTAATATTCATTATATTTCATTGGTTGTATTCACTGTATTTCTATTTGTATTCAGTATATTTTACTGTATTTCACAGTATTTTAAAATTAAATGTATTCATTGTTTATATTATATTCTATTGTAATGTTTGTATTCAGTGTATTCCAATATTTATATCCTTTATTCATGGATAGTGTATGTACAATATGCATGAATACAGGTGTATTCAACTGTATTAAAAAAATATAGACCTTCAGAATATATAAACACATGCAAAAAAAAATATTTATACAAAACTACAATGTGTTTGAGTGAATTTGTATCATTGTATGTGATTGAATAGCAAAGAAGAGAAGAAAGTTCGTTGAAGATGGCGTTTTCCGGCCAAGACTCCTTGTATCGCTTCACTACCTCTTCCATTATAATTTACAACGCTTCCAATTCGACTGCTTATTCCTCTTTTCTTTCTTACTTACCGCGCTAAGAATCCCCCTTTCTCTTCAATCTCTTTGTCGCACCGCTTCCTTTTTTTGATTATAGGTTTACTTTCATGTTTCTGATTTTGAGATTTTTAGGCTTTCTTTCATGATTTGTTTCTCTTTCGTGTATCTATGATTCGGTCTATTTTGCTCGAAGCGAGAGAGAAAGAAAGATAAATTCTGAGAGAGAATCGTGTGTTAATTAAAAGAAGAAAGAGGAAAAACATAAATAGCGTATTTCATGCCTCGATTGTAGTATATATACCATAAATACTTATTTTGTTATAAAATATAAAAGGTAGCTATAAAAAATAATATTTTAAAATAATTTTGATTTATAATAAATATGGTGTATAATAGTAAGTAAAATTTCCTGTAAAGATTCACTATAACTGGGCTTGGACCTAGCATTGGGCTAAATTGAGCCCACGCCAGAGCATTTTCTAAAACGAGGACAAGCCGCCACAACCAGTATAAGACTTGGATTTCAAATTGCACAGCAAAAAGCAATGTGCAAAAGGGAAAGAAGAAGCAGAGAATCATTAAATGGAGAACAAGGAAAGTTTGAAGCTTGCAGTTAAGCTCGCTATAGCTACTTGCATCACAGTAGCCATTTCCATCTTCATAGCAAAGAGCTTCCAGAAAGTTCGAAAACAGAACAGGAAAAAGCAACAAAAGAAACATTCCTGTTATTTAAATGCAGAATCCAAACCTCAATCTTCCTTCAAACGAGTTTTTGCTGATAACTCATATTCTCAATTCAAACACATCAAGCTTGTCAACAGAAATGGTACAAATACAATTTATTTAATTATCTATTTTTTTGAAACCCTAGCTAAAATGATCGGGAAATGTATGTGACAGAGGATTGTACAAATTTTCATCCGTATAAGACGGAGATTACGGAGTTGTTGAAGAGTTCAAATGCTGATTTTTTGGAGCATTTTGGAGGAAATTTTGAAGATTTGACTATGCGCGAATCGTATGTATGGGTAGAGAGTGAGTCACAATTGCGGGAGCTTGCGGAGGTTTTGAGTAAAGAGAGAGTATTTGCTGTTGATACAGAACAGCATAGCTTGAGATCATTTCTAGGCTTCACAGCTCTAATTCAGGTTTTCTAAAATGATTTTATACAGAACACATTTTATACTATTGTAATGTAAATGTAACTTTTTCATGTTATGAGCAGATATCAACTGGAAAGGAAGATTATCTTGTGGATACAATAGCTTTGCATGATGTAATGGGAATTCTTCGGCCCGTATTTGCCAATCCAGGAATTTGCAAGGTGACCTTGTCAATTTGCGTGCCTATTTACGGTTATCTTTCGTATTTATAATTTGATGTATAAAGTGCTAGCTGCTAACTCCACGCTGTGGTTAGAAATATTGTAATATGCTAATTTCATAATTTGCATTCCCAAATGACTCGTCAAAAGTTGTTTCCGCTGTTGTAGGTATTCCATGGTGCTGATAATGATGTTCTTTGGCTTCAAAGGGATTTCCACATATATGTTGTCAATTTATTTGACACTGCAAAGGTAAGGTGTTGTGTTAATGTATATTCTTTTATCTAATGAAGTGAAGATTTTTACTGAAGAAGGGCAAGAATATGCCAAGCATGTTTTTCTTGTTAGTTTTAAGCTACTGTTGTTCTTGTTATATTCCAGGCTTGTGATGTGTTGTCTAAACCACAAAGGTCTTTGGCATATTTGCTGGATGTGTACTGTGGCATTGTCGCAAATAAACTATTTCAGGTATAGAAAGAAGCTTGCTTGGGATACATTCATCTGCTTTCACATACTCTTTCTGTTCCTCCTTAGGTATCTGTTTGCTAACTTTTCTGTTGATAAGTTGTGATGGATGGAATTTACCTTATCAAAACAATGCTGTGATGGATGGAATTTACCTTATCAAATAAATTTTGTGATGGATGGATTTTCTTTTTTTAAGAAAATCTGTATTTTTTTTTTTATTATTGATGTCATTTTTTTGGTGGATTCAGTTTCTGAGGGGAACTTAGTGAAGGTGACAACACCCAATCTTCTATAAAATTGAAACTTATGGGTGCACTGAGAAAAAAATTAGGAATAAGAGGCTATTCCTCAGATGTACGTCGTCATTCTTTGTCCCATCAAAAGTTCTCCTATTTCTTTCCTTCCGCTGGACCTACATGAGTGCTAGTGGGGCAACATCCCAAGCTCTCCGACTTCTCTTCTTTCTTTTGGATTTCCTGCAGGAGAGTGCCTCATTCACCAAGCCCAACATCACCCATTGCATTCAGAACCATCTCAAAATTCCACACAACATGCCATGGCACAAGTAGGAGGAGGTGATCCCCATCTTCGCTTGAACATTTGCACATGAAACAGCAATTTATATAGAAAGTTCACCTTTTCCTCAAATTCTCGGTTGTCAATATAGCTCCCTTTGCTGCCGATCAAGTAAAAATAAAAAGAATAGGATAAAAGGTGATAGATTTTCCTAAAAAAAAGGTGACAGGTTCTCATAGAATTTTGAGAAGGAATATGATAAAAACTATGTGTGGATTCTACATTGTATGTATCTTTTCCATTTTCTTAAATTGGAACTGGATTGATAAAGACTACTATTAAGAGGGTCACTTGAAGTAAGGACTTCCTTAAATAGTGGAACTATTAGATAAAAGCTGCAATTAAGTAAAGCTGTTGAAGTATGATAGTGCTGTTGGTGCTGGCCTCGCTTGCTATCATCTCATACTTAAGACTGTTAGTGAAGCACGATTTGTATTTATAATGCCTATGATCAGATAAGACATTTTGACTAGGCATGTAAGACTCCGGCTATTTCTCTTTGAATACGTGGCACTGTCAGTGAACATGATTTTCAGTGGGTGCATTTGGTGATTTCAGCATGTTAAGCACAGCCAGCTACACCGTAGTGCTGATGCACCTCTCTTATAGTTCAGCTGAAAAGATCTTGATCTAAATTACAGTTCTATTCTTTATTAAAATTTTAGAGAGAAGACTGGAGGCAACGTCCACTACCAGCTGAAATGGTGCAATATGCTCGAACTGATGCACACTATTTGTTGTACATTGCACATCATCTTTCTTCCGAGCTCAAAGAACAAGATACTGGTATGATTCTCAGTCTGTTAAGTGATTTCTGACTTTGTGTATTGGCAGAAAATGTAGAGAACTTCTAGTATTTTATATTTGCAAAGTATTGAATATGTTGAAATGAAATGGCCCAAACAAAGCAAAATGGATAGTGATATTTCAGATATTGGATTGAGGTGTAGTTGTTCTTGTTGTTACTGCATTTTTTCCAAAGGTAATCCTTTAACTAATAGGCCCATCTGAAGTATCAATATCCTGAAAATATTTGTGTAACAGAAAATTCATCACATCTCAAAGACGACAAGTTTAGCTCTGTGCTTGAGGCCAACCGGCGTTCCAATGCAATCTGCTTACAACTTTTCTCAAAAGAGACTGATACTTACCCAGGAGAGTCTGTTGCATCATCTATAATCTCTCGTTATCAGAGTGATCAAGGAAGTTCTATGTCAAGTTCTGATGAGATGAAGGTACTATGCTCTGTATGCCCTTTTTCTTTATACAGCTTTGATTTCTGAGTGCTGATTACTTCTTTTTTGACGTTAGTTCCATGACCTCGTGAGGCGATTGTGCGCTTGGAGAGATATAATGGTAAGTGGAATTTGGATCAGAATGTCATTTCTTAATCATCATAATGTCATGTGACAGTATCTTTTTCGAATGAAGAAAAAATTCAAATTTTTGTGTATCTGTGGACATTTTCCGGTCCACCACTGGTGGATAGATCTTGAGCTAACTGGGAAAAAATGGACCAGATCAGAAAAATGGGATTCGAATCTGATAGTTTCTTTTTTGGGTGCACTTTTCCCCAAGAAGTGGTCTGGCACCAGAAGGAAAAGTCTGTGACTGCTTGGTGATAGTTGAGAGGGTTTTAGATTTTGAAGATTACTCCAGTTGGCTAGTAATGTGAGAAAAAGGAGAGTATGTTGGGTGGAATATTTTTTCGTTTTGATGACACTAAGGTCTCATGTTGGAGGAGAAATATAAGTAATGATATTACTCCAATTGGCTAGTAATGTGAGAAAAAGGGGAGTATGTTGGGTGAAATATTTTCGTTTTTGATGACACTAAGGTCTCATGTTGGAGGAGAAATATAAGTAATGATTTTCCAGCTGTTTATTGTGTTCTTTGTTCTTATACAGTGGCTTTCTAAAAAAAGATTCGGTCCCTCACCACATGGTGAAGAATGAGGGGCTCATACCATGTTAGCTACCCCCAACACCCATACAGTAGCTTCATTTTCTCAACATTCAAAGATAACAAGGAAGTACAATCTAAATAGCTCCTAACATTGAAGGATTACCATATCTGCATTTTGAATGCTTTCTCGGTTCAAATGATTAGAAGCTATTCTCAGAATTGAACACTATACTCCAATCTTTCTTACAATATCCCAATCAAAATTACCAACACCTTTTTATCTGTTTGATCTTATGAATTTCAATACTTCTACAAGCGGGTTACCTGGATTAACACTCCTTTGGACTTTGGTGGAAACCCCTCGATCCATGAAGCTAAAATCGCCGCTGGAGACAATTTATAGCATAAATCATATAAGCAACCTGAATGATATCCCAATTCAAGCAGTCCTTGTCTTTTTTATTATATAGAGATTAACATCTTGAGTTGTTCCAGATTCCCATCTACATTTGCTGCTCTTTAACATTTATAGGGTGCACTTGTTTCTTGAATTCCAGTTTCAGATTTTTAATTTCCTGATTACATTCTTTGAGCTCACTTAATTTAATTTATATCCTTCTAGGCTCGCGTACATGATGAAAGCTTGAGATATGTTTTATCTGAGCATGCCATTGTTGCGCTTGCAGCTAAAGTTCCTATATCAGAAATGGGCATATGCAACGCTATATCTGAAGCCGATCAGAATCCAGACTCGCCGAGTATTAGTAGTTTATTTCAATCTCCTTCACCTGTAGTTTGCAGTCACTTGGACGACCTCAAGTACTTGTTTTTAGATGAAACAGGAAAGGATGACGGCGATTATAAGTTAATTCTTCAAAAATGCCTGGGATCTGATGGGAGTTGCCCTCTTTCTGTATACAACTATGCTCTACTATCCAAAACTAGCTTGAAGATGCCAGTTAAATCAGCTTTCAAACAAAATGGACTGAAAAATTCCAAGCAATTTGCTAAGAAGGCTTCTCGGCAGTTGTTTGTCCAAAAATTTTCGTGCAAAGCCCCTGTTTACCATAATTGTAGGATTTACGCAAATGATGGACGATTATTATGTTATTGTGATCGTAGAAAACTTGAATGGTTAGTGAAATATCTTTTTCTAGTCTTCTTCTTCAGTGGTTACAACTTAAGGTAATATGGGACTCGGAAATTTGATTGCAGGTATGTCAACCGAAATTTGGCAAAACTTATTGAAGAGGACCCTCCTGCTATAATGCTTCTTTTTGAGCCTAAAGGTCGCCCTGAAGATGAGGGTAATGACTTTTACATTCAAAGTAAGAGAAATATTTGTGTTGGCTGTGGTGAAGGAAATCACTATTTACGTTATAGAATCATACCTTCATGTTATAGAATGCACTTCCCTGAGCATTTAAAGAGCCATCGGTCTCATGACATCGTCCTTCTTTGTGTGGACTGCCATGAAATTGCTCATGCTGCTGCTGAGAAGTATAAGAGGAAGATAGCTACAGAATTTGGAATACCACTTTTTGTTCGTCGAGTAGTTGATTCTAATCAAAATCAGAATACATCAGAGTCGTCTGTGCCAAAGTTAAATGCAGAGGAGGAAGGAGTATCTCCTTTGCAGTTGCGTACAGCAGCCATGGCGTTGCTACGTCATGGATCAAGAATGCCAGCTAATCGCCGAGAAGAGTTAATAATGGTACGGAAGTTCGCATGTTTAACACATACATGTACCTTTAGCTAATATAAATGAAGATATCTTCAAAAATGTATTGCTTAATTTGCTAAAAAATGGTGTCGTTTTGTACTGCTTCGAACCATAAATATTCTCCTTTTTTTCTGGCAGTGTTCTCATTAGTTATGACTTAGCATCTGGTGGATAACTGAATTTAGCACCTAAAATGGAACGTATCTGTGAGAAGACACTAGATGTATTTGATAACATAAAGCAGGTCACTTAGTTTCTTGTGCCAACTATACTGATTTTCAATTTTTTAGCAGAGAGTTTGACTTAACACCAAGAGGAAAAATTGCCGCTTTGTCTTAGTGTTCATATTTTTCTTTATTTACTGTTTCTGTTGGCACTTTTACGGTGGAAGCTTTAACTCTTTCGTTGGAATTTGCATCCTTGATTCTGCTATAACTGGGTTAGATTTGAATGAATTGCTTTAGATGCACTTGCTGAATTTTGCACCATGCTATCACTTCCATATTAATCTGATGTTTCAACAACAACAACAACATACCCAGTATATTCTCACATGTGAGGTCTGGGAAGGGTAGTGTGTACCCCTACCTAGTGAAGGTAGAGAGGCTGTTTGCAATAGACCCTCGGCTTAGAAAGGTAGGGGGGAAGAGAAGAGGAAGAAGTAGAAGAAATAAAGAGAGGGGAGAAGATGGGGGGGGGGGATAAGTATTACCAAAATAGTAACCACGGGAGAATACGATAACTAAAACAAACTAAACAACATGATGTAATATAAATCTGAGAAATAGGAAAGTACATGCGTGCTACTAGTACTACCGGTAAGAAAGGGAGAAATTCTCAACTACCTAATACCCTTCTACCCTATTCCTCGACCTACACACCCTCTTATCAAGGGTCATGTCCTCAGTGAGCTGAAGTCGCGCCATGTCCTGCCTGATCACCTCTCCCCAGTACTTCTTAGGAGTGCCTCGACCTTTTCTCAAATCCGCCATGGTCAACCTCTCACACCTCCTAACAAGAGCGTCAATGCTTCTCCTCTTGACATGCCCGAACCATCTCAGCCTCGACTCCCACATCTTGTCCTCCACGGAGACCACTCCCACTTTATCCCGAATAACTTCATTCCTAATCTTATCCCTCCAGGTACACTCACACATCCATTTCAACATCCTCATTTCTGCTACTCTCATATTTAGCACATGGTCTTGACTGGCCAACACTCCGCCCCATACAACAGGGTAGGTTGAACCACCACTCTGAAAAATTTACCCTTAATCTTTGATGTTGCAAGTTGTCTTAATCATCAGCTTTCTGACATTTATGTACCCTCCATTAATTTAAGTAATCCTTTCAGTTTTTCACTGAGTTACATGGTTCAAATTGTTTATAATTGAATAACGTTTCACTGTCTTTGTTGTAGATTATCAGGAATTATTATGGTGGACGGGAAATTTCTGGCAAAGATCTGGAAAGAGCTTTGTTAATTGGTATGAGTCCTAATGAGAGAAGGCGATTTGAGAAAAAGAGAAAGCTAGCTTGCAAAGATTCTAGTAGAAGTACCACACCAGATGATAAGCTAGATAATAAGCAAGCAAATGGAACATCTCTGCCTGAGGAAATCTCAGAAAACTCAAGCAACGGTGAAGAAACTATGAACATTTTGACAGTAGAGGAAAATAATGTTAGTAATCACTCTTCATATCCGAATTTTGGGGTCAATGGTGAGTTCTCTGTTCAGAACAATGATGTCCCACACGGAAGAGAATCCCTAGTGAAACATGATGATATTCTTCCGGATTCCGATGTTGATGAAAGCTGCAATGTATCTAATGGAGCAGTTAATTCCGTTGATAATATGAATGCTAGTGTATCATCCAAACGAGACTCAAAGCTCTCACTATTAGGGCATGGACCACATGGGAAGCAAGTTGTTAATCATCTACTCAAGGAACATGGGGAGGAGGGAATTAGTCAATTTTGTCAGAGATGGAGACAAGTTTTTGTTGAAGCTGTTCATCCACGCTTCTTACCTGCTGGCTGGGATGTAATGCACAGGTGAGTAATTCATTTAAAAGCATTTCGATAATGCAATGTTGGGCCAGATGCTATTGTCATAATTCTGATCGTATAGGATCTTGTTTGACCTTTCATTCTACTCCCTCCGGTCCATAATAAGTGACCTTTTGGCCTTTGGCACACCCCTTAAGAAAATACTATATCCTAAAAAAAATAAGTATTTTGACTAAATTACCCTTAATTTTAATTTATATATTGTTAACTTGACATATTGGGATATGTAAGCAAGGGCAAATTGGAAAAACTAAAGTTAATTTATTTTATATTAAAAGGATACTTATTTTGAACCAAAATAAAAAGGTAAAAGGTCACTTACTATGGACCGGAGGGAGTAATACCTAAGCATTTTAGCTTTGAGATACCCCAACAAGATGAGAGGTTAAATTTTGACTAGTTAGTTTGGGAAGTTTTGCTTCAATTGAAGAGTTCAACCAAAAATTTCTTTGTTTTTAAAACTGTTTTTCAGCCAAACACTGAGAAATAAAAGTATTTTCATTTTTATTTTTGGGTGCAAAAATAAGAAACTTTGAAGAACTACTCAAGAGTAGTTTTTAGTTGTCTTGGTGTTTGGTTGAGAATTGTTTTTGCCAACCAAAAAAAAAAAAGAATTGAAAACATTTTTCTGAGTATGAATGTTATGCCAGTAGAGCGTTATTATGACACTTTGAGATACATTAAAAGAACACCTAACGGCAAAAAATTCAGTCCCCGCAATATGCGCCATCATTTATATGCATCAGCAGACAAAGCTGGTGAATATCGTCATTTTGGGGAAGATTAAATATCTGGCCTAAGAATGAAGTATTATCTCTCTTCTTCTTTTCGATGAGTAGCTCCATTCTCTTTATCTATTTTTTCTCCCGTTCCTTATAATGGAAGGCAAGGCACCAATGTTGTGTGATATGTCTTTGTCTGCTGCATCTTAAATCAGCATTCTTGGTTGGAGTTTATATCACAGATTATACAAATATACTACTTTAGTTTGTCGGAGTAATTTGGGTTTAGTCGTTGATTTTGGATAAACGAGAAGTGAAATCTCTTTAGTGACAGCTACTTTTTCTTTGTTAAAAGGCACTGATGTGGCACATATTTTTGCCAGTGGTAGAAGAGACTTTGGGGAGTTCAGCGTTTACAATCCTGGGAAAAGAACTCCAACATCTACTCCTGAGCAGTAGTGATTAAGATATAATGCAAGCAAACAGGCACTGCAACTTTCTCTGGCGATTTCTCCATTTCTTCTTTTGGTGGTGAAGGAGAGGGGTTATCATATCATGCTGTCTTATTGGAATTTAGAGCTTGAAGCTCATAATAGATTTATACTACATAGCCTTCTTTTCGTCGTTACCGATACTAATAAAAGTTCATTCGGTGTTTTAGTAATTTTGTTTTTGAGTTTTTCTATTCCCATGTTACCCATTTATTTTCACTATGATTTATTTGTTATATATAGTTCCTTAAAAGCCTAAGTTGCTTATATTTGGTATATTCTTGGGGAAAAAAAAAGAATAACGTACCAGTTAGGAAACATGAAATTGAAGAGGAAAAGAAATAAAATGCGTAATTTGAATGTTGGGAGTCACCTGATTTGTGTTAACGGGGCTTTGAGTGCTGCCGCTACTCAAAGGTAAGTTTTATAGAGCGGTGGTTAGACCGACCATGTTGTATGTTGTATGGGGCTGAACGTTGGCCAGTTAAGAACTCACATATCCAGAAGATGAAAGTAGCTAAAATGAGGATATTGAGGTGGATATGCGGGCACACTAAGATGGATAGGATTAGGAATGAGGATATTCGGGAGAAGGTGGGTGTGGCCCCATGGAGGACAAGATGCGGGAAGCGAGGCTCAGATGGTTCGGACACGTACAGAGGAGAAGCCCAGATGCTCTGATAAGGAGGTGTGAGCGGCTGGCTTTGGTAGATACGAGGAGAGGTAGAGGTCGGCCTAAGAAGTATTGGGGAGATGTGATCAGGCAGGACATGGCGTGGCTTCAGATTACCGAAGACATGGCCCTTGATAGGAAGTTGTCGAGGTCGAGCATTAAGGTTGTATTTAGGAGGTAGTTGAGCATATTTCTACTTCGCACTGGAGTGAGGCTAGTCTGATAGGTTCTTGTCTAGACTGCTAGTGGTTAATGTTATGTTCATACTACTCTCCCGTTTTTCATAGTGCCGGGCCTTATTTACTGGTTACTGGTTATTGTTTTGCTTTTCATCTATTTACTGGTACTTGTGATGCTGTTATTTTTTTCTATGGCTACTGTTGATGGTACTGATCTTCTTGAGCCGATGGTCTATCGGAAACAACCTCTCTACTCCCTCAGGATAGGGGTAAGATCTGCGTACACACTACCCTCTCCAGACCCCCCACTAGTGGGATTTCACTGGGTCATTGTTGTTGTTGTTGTTGTTGTTGTTGGGGCTTTGAGGGATTTCTTCTTTTTCACTCATAGGGCTAGTTACATCTACCGCAATTTGAATTCTGAAAATTTGTAATTCAATTGGGGTTTAATTGCCAATTTGTATTTGTACAATAAGCATATGCATGTGCATATGATAAGTGGGGTAATAGAATTTTAGAGCCATGAGATAACTTAGGTTTTTATCTTCTATTTTTTCTCCACTTTAGACAATTGATCTTAACACCAATTTGTCATAGGATTTTTCAACTAGCTCTTGACATGTATGCTAACAGTAACTCAAAACAGTAACAATAGCCTATAGTTCTGTACTTCACATTGTTTCATCAGTAATCCTAACTCTTCTCAATTTATCTCTCGTTGGTAAAGAGTCCTTAACTTAATTTGCTTTCTGTCCTCAAAGTCCTAGTTCCTCCAATACCTCCATCATAATCTTTTCTTCGTTCCTAAACTAATATTTCCCTCAACTGGTTTTGTATTTAGTGTAGATTGCTCAAAATTTAGTAGTAAAGTCTATTAGTCTACAGCTTAGGAAAATGATTAGTGTACCAGTAAAAGGAGTGTAAAGAGAGAACATAGCATGGAAAGTTGGAAACAGGGACTGTGGGCCAAACAATCCGATATTTCGTCAAGTTGCTTTTTTTGGACCAGCATGGAAGATTCTCTATTTCCGCCAACATATTGGTATTTTATGCTTAGTTTTGTTTTATGAATACATAATTACACATCCATACAGTAATTAAGTTAAAATATTTACATCGGATAAATATAATAATTGACCTGCTATAATAGGTTAATATGTACTAATTGTATAAAAATAACATAGTATTAGTATATATATAACTTAAATAAATTCTTTTGTGCCTCTTTATTGTTTACGCGTCGTTTATGCTTTCTATTTTTATTACGATTAGATATGAATGCAGTAATTTTTTGTCGAACCAGGGAAAGAAACAGTGTGTAATCGGACATATACATTTTGTGCGTGGTAAACTTTTACTAATATCAAATTGCATATTCTTTGTTGCTTTGACCGAGCACTGAAATTTTTTATCAGTTAAGGTGCATCTCTTTTGAGTTCGACTGAAGTTGGCGCGATTGTTTCACCATATTCGTTTAGTGTGAATATAGTCCTACTTATCTTTTGTCAATGTCAACTGGTAATGATGCTATTATAATCTTGATATAAAAGAAAAACACATAGAATTGACGTCAAATTCGCATGCGCTAATATTAGAATGGATTCTTAATTTAGAGTAGCAGAAGGGATGAGGAGACGGGAGACCGTCAAATGGAGAAAATGACAACCTTTCGAAATTGGGAAGGTGACTTTATCTCATGGCTTACGTTAAATAGCATGGACAGAGTACTGACCAAAAATAGCCTGGACCCTGTTTCTATGTATAGAAAGCATGGACCGCCTACTAACAATATTTTCCTACTTCACATAGAGCGTTCTCTACCGGTATTTTTTCATCCTGAGCTCGAACTGATTTTATGAATATAGGAATTTTATTTATCCCACCATAATCCTAGTAATTAAGAATAACTTAATTCTATCTCCTTTCCTCTCTTTTGTTTTGGAGGTGGATTGAGGAGGTGTTGTGAACCGGCATGACCCGGTATGAGATTATGGTCCACAAGTGTGCAACAAAGTTGATCCAGTTAGTAGTATAGTTGGTAGTATTGGGCCTGAAGCTAAATGGAGAAAAGGCCCAATGACTGAACACCCGAATATAACACATTATATTTGGGATCCAGGCAGTATACATGGCATGTGTATTGTGACCATACTTAGGCAAAGTTTGCTTTCTCACCTCCTCTTATGAATATGTCTAATTCCTCATCCCTTTCTCATTATCTATCATATTTGTTCAGTTGTTCTGCAATTACTGTTGTTGTTCACATTATAGACCTGTAATCTTCCAGTTGTTGAGAGCAATATAGTATAAAATACTTTAGTATCTGTGTTGAGTAATTCAGGTTGTTACATTGGTGCTTTCATCCATCGGACTCCAAAATTGACGATGTTTCTACCTAGATTCAGTGGCGACGGCAACCCGGAGAGTTGGATTTTTCGGGCCGAGTTGTACTTCACATATCTTGGCTTCGCCAAGTAGGACTAGCTGCCTCTTCCAACCTTCTATCTAGAAAGCGATGCCCTCGCATGGTTCAATTGGTTATTTCGCAACCACCAATTCAATGATTGGAACCATTTCAAGGAGAAATTTCTTATGCATTTTCAGAAACAAACCTTCATTAATTCGAGAATGACAGATACTTCACAAGCTGGGGTTGACTACGTCAATTGTGCTACATTGGTTCGATCGGCGACCTATGAGTCTGCATCTCCCGAAATTTATGAACTCAACGCTAGTCTAGTTGATGGAGAAAAGTATGCGACTGTCGTAGATGAGGTGTTTGATAAAAATCCCCAACGTAATGAACTTGTTGTGCATTCTCAATTTTCAAAGGATGAAGCTCAATTAGTTCTTCTTGTTGGACGATATTATTTTATGCCTCAAGAGATTGAACAATTTGAGATTTTGTCTATAGACTGTGAGGGACTTTTAGATGCAATGAAGATAAACTCTGATTCCGACGATGAAAAATCATAGGAGAACCAACGAGGCTACACTAAGGTGGAGGAAAATTCAAGCAACACTGCAGCTTAGGTGTTTGCTACAAATAGCGCCGCACAACTCAACCATATTGCAACTATGATTTTGGATCCCTTTTCTAGCTTGATCCCGGATGTTAAGTTTTTTATTGGTCGAACACTTGTTGTGCCTGTTAATGTCAATTTGGATGATTGTCATATACTTGATACTTGTTATTGCTGTCAAATGAGGGCTTGTGCATCTCTCCACTATGTGTCTGGATCAACTATAGGGACTATTCTATTTTATAGTTGTGTGGACAATTGGTTCGACACAGGGCAAGATTTCAAGGCTAATTCATATGTACTTTTATATGTTCAATCTGAAGGTCTAACTCACATTTTACATGAGGAATCATGGCTGATACTTTTTCTTGGTTATGAGTTTGTCCTGCAACATGATAAGAAGTTCACGATGGCTAATGAGGTTTTAGATACTAAGAATTTTGTCCTTGCTGATTTTTTTTTTATTGAGTCTGAAAATCCATCTTGGGTTGAAGAGTTTACGTCAATTATCAAGCAACTACCACTACATGATTTTCGGGTGATAGTTTTGAGTTGCCTAGTACTGCATTTGGGGTGGCTAGTATGGCAGATTGTCCAGGTTGTAGGAATTTCTAATATCAGCTATTCATGTGATGCAATTGGTTTACTAGTACGATGTGGCAACCTTGAATATCATAGTGGACCATCATCTTCTGAGGACATGTTTTCTATGCACCTTGTGCTGGAACTTTGGGCAGGAGGGGACCTGTTTGATGGAACCATTGCCCGCGGATATTCGTTAGACAAAGAAACTACTGATATTTTTGGACAGCTTCTAACTGTAGTCTGTAATTGCCATTTCATAGGTGATGATCGTTGGAATCAATCATTGGCTGGACACTCCAGAAAAGTCTACCCTCAGCAGGACTTGAGCTTGCTCAACGCTTGGAGGAGTTGCCTTGTACTCTTTCCGCTTGCATTTGTGACCAGTTTATAAAGAGAAGTACGTTCGACTCATATAGTGCACTCGATCATGCTACACCTCTTATAGCTTTACATCAATTTTTCCTTGATCAGTTCGGAATAGAGTTTTCATTTGATCCCGGTGAGTCTGTTCTTCCATCGATTATGTTCGAAAGCTTGGATATACATTTCAATATACCCCACTGCTTGCCTAGTGCGCTGTATTCTGTTGCAGTTGGCCTCAATGGTACTTTGGAAGGTGACAAGCTGTCTAATGAAATGTCCAGTTGCATAATGGATGTATAAACTGTTCCACCTCGGCCACTTCCAAAACCACATTTCTTGGCCTTCATATTGGATCTCTTGGCCCAAGTCTCGCATTCTGTTGCAATAACAACGAACCTCGACTCTAATGGGCTTGTCATAATTGGTGTGGATGATTCCAATACATATGCTCGTCTTCTAGCTACAAACTTCAGTAGTAAAACGCAACCTGCAACAACCGCGTTTGCTGCCATATTACAGGAGCGAAGAGTATTAAAATTAAGGAGTGGCTATAAGGTGAAGCTTCACGTGGTGCACCTTGTTGCTTACACATTTTACGGTGTCATTAAAATAATAGAGTTGGTTGCACATCATAGTTTTCATCATGGCTTAGGGCATGCATTAGTGTATGTTATCCTCTTGAACAAGTGTGTGATTGTAGGGCAGGTTATCATTGAACTCAATTTGATAATACTGATATATTTTACTGTAAACCAAATAGAACATGGTTGGTTGATAACCGTAGCAATGGAGAAATTTGGTGAAGAGAAAACTACTAAAATTATTCATTTGTACTTCAAGATGGATAATTCTAGCTTCGACGGGTCCAAGCATGTTAAGAAGTGTTGCATGTCTTATGTTTCACATGCTTTTGGAGATCCTTTTGATCATAGTAATACTCTTCTTGGCATCCAATTATCTGAGACTATTACTAACATTGTAGCATATCATGTGACTATTTCATTTGATAGAGAGGGAGATGGCTCTACTAATACCAAGAAGGTTTTCAATTGGCTAGCAATTTCGTTGGTGCAAGCTAGTCCACTTGTTCTTGTCCTTTCATCAAGAATTGATGTTGAAAGAGAATGGAGTGAAAGGGGCATTGCAGCTATTGTTAGCCATATCTGTGTGTTGCTGTTAGAAAGTATAACAAATTCCCCTCATGGGACAGCCAATATTGCTTCTAAGATCAGAACCATGCCATATGAAAGCTTGAATGACATCATTAGGTGCTTTCTGTTTTTGAACACATCTCCAATTACTACACATTATTGTCATGTTATCTTGAACAAAGTGGTTATTCTACAGAAGCTAGGCGATAATGATGAAACCAAGTCGACACTACCCCAAGCTGCCAACCAAACTATGATATTGTTCCTAGTGGTTTTTGCCTATCGCAGCCATGAATTTAGCTCTCAAAGTTGCCTTCCTGACTTGAACCTTGAGGATAAGGTTCTTTTTATCGGCGGAAGTATTGTTGTGAACCGGCGTGACCCGGTATGGGATTATGGTCCAGAAGTATGCAACAAGGCCGATCCAGTTGGTAGTATTGGGCCTGGAGCAAAATGGAGAAAAGGCCCAATGACTGAACACCCGAATAGAACACATTATATTTGAAATCCAGGCAGTATACAAGGCATGTGTATTGTTACCATGCTTAGGCAAAGTTTGCTTTCTCACCTCCTCTTCTGAATATGTCTAATTCCTCATCCCTTTCTGATTATCTATCATATTTCTTCAGTTGTTCTGCAATTACTGTTGTTGTTCACATTCTAGACCTGTAATCTTCTAGTTGTTGAGAGCAATGTAGTAAAAATACTTTAGTATCTGTGTTGAGTAATTCAGGTTGTTACAGGAGGGGTTGGAGATCAAGGGTCAGCGTGGTGGAGAATTTTAGAATTGATGAAAAAAAAAAATTGGAATTTGCATAATGCAAAAGATTATCATATATCTGATCGTGATTAGAATCATCACTTAGATCTAAACCCGATAGTATTAAACTCTTTAGTTTTGTGTCAATGTCTTTAAAGAATTTCTTATCATGCAGTGGAGTTTTTTCTATATTAACCTCTTTTCCTTGTAATAGTTCTTTTATCGGGAAAACATTGCTCTTTTTTTTCACAGATTATGTTTATTTACGTTTTTTCTTTTGGTAACTTCAATCAATCTTTAGAGAGAAAATTGACATGAAATTTTGACATTTACTTAATGTAATATTTATTTAGGGAAAAATATTTTTGGTCCTCAAAAATATTCACAGGCGATTTATCCAATTGCTATCTGGTGTTCAATTGACCAAAACGAAAGTAATGAAACCCAAAAGATTTCCAGTTAAAGTATTTGTTCGTAAGAGTTTCAATTGTCGAGTGCAATTGATTCACAAAAAGTGATGAAATCCAACATATACGGAGTAGTTCCTAAGATGACTATTCAATGAACAAAATGTTACACTTTGAATCATAGTATTATGATGTTGAATTAATAGCTTACTGGTTACTTATGTTCCTGTCTTCAATAAGAAAAAGTTGCAGAAATATGACACTTTTTGGAGCGATCTTAACTTTTGACCCTGTTTGGTCCATGGACAGAATTTGAATATCAAAAGTTAAAAGTATTGTCCATGAGACAAGTGAGGACAACACTTATTAAACTTAAAATTCCGCTTATGTGGCAAGTTGTGTACTTCACCCATTCAATTAGGCCTTCCTTACTTCCTTATACCACTTGATTCAAAAGTCTAACCGATGAGTACAATTTAATCGTTCATATTTGATAAAAGTAGATTCCATTAAATTTTAATCTTGAATCCACCGTCATATAAATTGTACTACTCCCTCCGATCTATTTTAAGTGATTTTTTGGTTTTTTTTTCTGATCCATAATATTTGATTTTTTCAAATTTTAAGAAGGAAATAACTTCTTCTTTCCAAAATTGCCCTTGAAGTGAAGTCTATGCGTAATTTGTTATATTTTCAATAAGCAAATTAATTTTATTATTAATTAATACTAAAAGATTAATTTCTTAATAACTTAAATTGTACCGAAGGGACTATCATGTTTTTGAAATAAAATATGGAAAACGCTTGTTCCAAGAGACCATCAAATGTATTGTCAAGACAGCATTCAATCCCGAGGCTTTTTCTTAGAAAAGAAAAGTCTTTTGGTGTCTAATTTGGACAGTGAGAACAAGAGAAAGGTCAGTCTAGACTGGAAGAAAAGTTTATTCGTCTAACTACACATTTCCCTTTCAAAATATTAATTTTAATAGTATTACTAAAAATATGCATTTATTTATCAAAAAGAAAAAAAATAAATTATATTGGAGCAAAGTGGCCCAAAGGTATTGTAAAAGCCTTCTTGATTTGAGGTGCTCATTCGTATATTTCTTTAGTAAGAGAAGAGAACCGTCACCGTTCCTTTCCCATACCTAATTCTCCACTTGTGTTCTAACCCGAACTTTTTTCTCTTATAGTAATATTTTATTTTATTAGTATCTATTAATGACATGTGATAATTTAAATATTTATTTATATGAAGCAACAATAAAATTTAATTGATGAGAGAAATTTTATGTTAATAATACAACAATAATCTAAATATCAAAAAATATTATTACATTAGCATAATAAATAAATTTAAAATAAAAGGATATCATCAAAACTTACACAAATGATCAATTTTGTCATGTTAGTTAGATAATTATGTAATAGTTTAAAAGTATTTAATGTGATGGTATCTTAACCAACACTTCTTTGTGGACAATACTTTTTTTGTATGTTTTCTCCTAATGCTTTGGTTGCTCTGCCTTAATTAGAACTCTTGTTGTCGAACTTGATATCGTTCTTGAAAGTGTAACATACAGTTGTTCGTGCAAGAAAATATATTGCAGTGGATATAGTCTAATATTTAGGATGTTTGTCATTGTGCTTTATTTATTATATTTGCAAAATATAAACATCTAAAAATTATTTTAACACAAATTTAAAAGGATATTCCTTAGTTTCGAAAGATAAAAGTTGAATTCAGGGATAAAAATATACTTAGAAGCACATTGACCAGTATCATAATTTTTGCATGTATGACGTTATTGTCAAAACTTCTATATACCGTCTGTGTGCTATCAGAGGCAGATCCAGGATTTCAAGAGGATGAGTGCACTATGTGAGGTGGATCTATAATTTACATTTGACGGGTTTAACTTTAGCCTCTTACCATAAAAACACTACACTTTTGAAATTCTAGGTTCAAAATTACTCTTTTTAAAATTTTAGTAATTTTCACACACACACACATATATATACTTTGTGCCTAAAACAAGACTATTCAGAGTGGGATTTGAACTGCCAATTTCACATGTAGAGGTGCACCCAATAATATTTGCATCATAAGAGTTTTTGAGCATGGGTTCATGCACATATATTTAAATAATTTTGAAGAAATATAACATTGTTATACATGGTTTGGGAATAGGAGTATGGGTTCACGTGAACTCATGCCCCTATACTTGGATACGCCTCTGTGTGATATTACATAAGTTATTCGGCGTATCTAAATTTTTCAGTAGCATGACATACATTCTTTTCTTCAAAACCAACCTATATACAATGGAAGATCAATTTTAACTTAGTCTATTATATATACGGTGACACTAACATACGTACGAAATAATAAGCATGGCAACAAACGTGTATGGTAAAAGGCTATTTGATATTAAAATATTTAAATATTCTTCTTGGTAGTAATTATCATTTTCTGATGAGTCAAAAACAGAAAAATATTTTGTTTAACTATAAAATTTTGCAATTGGTCTTTTATTTAGTTGATCAACATATTCATTAAGATATCTTTTTAATTCTATCATGCGATTTACACAAATTGCATTTTAATCTAATGATATAAATATTTCTCTTATTAAATGCACTACTATTACCATTGGGATTGACAACCAAGTATTCAGAAAGACCCAAATCATCTTTATTGGATGGTCTTCTTCATTTTTCGACACGAAACAAGAATACACTGAATACTGGATCTATTCTTACTTTATATTTCTTGTTAGTTGAATCTTTTTCATTTGAGGCCAGAAGTATAACTTTGCCAAGCCAGCGCTTACAGTCTCTACTTTTGTCGATTTTGGAACTACTGATAGTACTTGACATAAATTACCTCCCAACCCATTAATTTTTCACCAAACGGTTCATTAATATCCAATATATCTCTAGAACTCCGGGCAAATATTTCGATCGTTTGACACTTAGCCATAAGTGTTTCATCCCATATTATCAAATTTGCTTTCCTTATAAATTTAGCATCATTGCTATGCTTTGATATCATTGTTGTTGGCACACTACTTGCTATTACTGCTAACAGTGTCATGTTTCTTGATATGATATTTGCAAGTGGTGCATGACATAGAAATATTATTTCGATCCCGCCGGAGGCATGTACAAAAAATAATCCCGTTATAGCAGGGTCGACTCTTTATAATATAGTCTTGAAGGCTTATTCTTTTTTAGGATTTAGTTTTGATTTTGCTTACTCATACACTTGATTGTGCATTTTGATTCTTAATAATATACTAATATTTTTATTTTGTGTTCTAAAGCTCTTTTTACGGAATAAATTTATGTACCCTAAGTATTTTTTAACTTGAATAAGATTTTTACTCATACGATGAATTTAAAAAAATAATTGAATTGTATTCTCTTGTTAAATAATTAATTAAAAGATTTAGCTTTAACATAAAAATAATTTATTATATGTTGATTTAGATCTTAATATTAGTTCATCTCTTGTTTTGAATATTTAATCTTAATTATAATTTTATCCACCATAAATTTTATTTTCAAAGAGTAAAGGATTGATATGGCATTTCACTTTTAGATTTTTATGTCTATAGAATTATTAGTGGTATTGACTCTTACCAACCATATTTTTTCTCTTTCTCCCACATTTATATTCTTAAATATTTTCTTGATTGCTGTTTAATAATTGGGTATGTTTTAATATTACATGATTTTTTATTTTATTTTATTTAAGTAGAAAAATAGTAGTCAAATATAATATAAAAATATATTATCACGGGGGTATTTTTTCCCTCAATTTAAACTCTTTATGTAGTTCATTTAATATTACTTTTATTTTTCTTGGTATTGGACATCATGGAGTGGTAATGTATTGACAATAACGAGGATTCTTATGAAGTTGATTTTATTAAACCTTTCTATATATTTTTAATAAGAATTCAATACAAATTTTATTAATTTTAAAATCTTGAATATTAAAAATTAGCATAGAAGGTATTGTAGTCCAAAAAATAGGTTATTGCAGTTATGTTATTTTCCTATGAGTTCTTCCGTTTAATATTTTAGGGTCACTTTGGTATATTAATATTATATTTATACTTTTATAATAATATATGATCTATTTTTTCTAAATAGATTTGGACAATACAATACATTCTCAAATTAAATTAGTAATAGGACATTATAATAAGTTTTTTAAATTAAATTAGTAATAGGAATTTTAAAGAAATATATCATAAAAGTAATAGGATTACATGACTAAAGATATTTACTTGTTCAATCTTATATGAATTAGACATCCCGAGAGTAATTATACTAATAGGGTTCCTAAAGGTAATCATGTAGGATTTCTAACGTGCAGTATTATGTCCTAAAATTTATAGGATTGTAAGGCTAATATTTAGAATTTCAGTTATATTTTTTTATTATGAGTTATTATACTTAATATTATAAGATTATTTTTGTAAACCGACATTGTATTCATACTTTTATAATAATATAGATATAGATAGATATAGATA